TACACATACACACTCATTCAGAACTTTCAAGGGAGAAAAAGAAAAAAGAAAAAAAGAAAAAAACAAAGAACTGAAAAGAGAAACGAAATATACATGCATCATCCAGGCATGGCTTTGTGCACCTGGGGGTTCCCTGAGCCTTCTGCAATTGAGACCATTGCTTTCCAAACCCGAAAGCTGTTCACCATCAAAGTAACACACATCACAAAAAATTACCACAATTAATGATCAGTACTAGACTACTAGTTTAAAAATTAAAAGTATTAATCATTTAATACAAACTATCTGACCCTGGGAGCCATGAATTTGCAACATAAATTGTCCTTATTCCAAAAAGTTCTTTGTACGAGGCTCAAGGCCTCGATCTGCCCTACTGGGCCCTAGTTTCTGTACAGTCGGCCGCCCTAAGTGAAGGCAGGCTCGACCCAGGACCTACAGGCCTATTTTTGGGGTCATCACGCAACTGGGTCTGTCTCTTATACACATCTAGATGTGTATAAGAGACATAGCGAACACTGGGCCACATTAATAAAATAATATAGCTTCATTAAAAAAAAAAAAAAAAAGATTGAGAGAAGAAAATTGGGTAGCAAAAATGAAGTTTGTCGGAACTTTGTCTTTGTCCCCCATACATGAGGAGAAGACAGCTGTATTTTTTTATATCAACTTTATAAAGAGGAAAAAAAAAAAAACGGTGATGGACAAGCAAGCAGCAGCCAGAAACTCAGAAGCTACCACATATTATTTTTTTGACTCTCTACTGGCCCCTGTACTGGGCCTCCATTCTCCAACCAAGGTGCAGACTGCTCCCACAGAACGCAGGCAGATCACATAACAAAGGGAAGTGCTCAGGCAACCGGTATTCTGAAATGCTTTCGGCTCTCCCATGAAGATTCCCTTCATTTCCACAATGATATTTCTTTAGTAGATATACAAGCGGATGGAGAAATAATATATGCTTTTTTCCAAAAGTTTCCAGTTTGTTTCGTTTAATTTAGAACACACATACATCTCGGTGATGGGAAATATTATGCAGCAGATTATAGGTATTCTGATGGGTAGGGTTGTCAAGTCCACCGTTAGGCCTTATTGTCACTTGCTATTATTTTGGGCAATTCGGCGATGATTTTATGCATGTCATGCTCTCTGTAAGAATGAAACATAGGGAGACTCAATCTTGTTGTCAAGCACTTCTGTAAGATCTCTTCTTCACACACACACACACACACACACACACTTCCGTAAGTTCTCTTCTTCACGCTCTCTCTCTCTCTCTCTCTCTCTCTCTCTCTCTCTCTCCTGTCTCTTATACACATCTAGATGTGTATAAGAGACAGATGCTACTGTCGGTTTACTGTCCAAACGGTTATCAACAAAGATTAGATATGATCGAAAGGCTCAAACCACTCCTGGATGGGAATAGGCACCTGATCTTAGCAGGAGACTGGAATGCCACCTTAGATCCCGACCTAGACAGAATGTCAGGGGGCTTCAGATCAGAGGAAGAGTGTCGAGCAGAAGAATCCCTACC